GAAACTGGAAATAAATGGCGAAGAACCGCTGAGCATTCATGATTTTGAGATGACAATGGATCGCTTAGAAAAAGAAAGCTTCTTTCAGGTGATCATCTACAACATTCTGAAAATGAGGCAAATAGGTTCTTTCTGGGTGGAATGTGCAGTATGTTAGACAATTTTGAAAAACAGCAGACGAGTTCATAACACGATTTACCAAAAAAAAGCATCGACGTGCGGGAGCGGATCTATTCGAAAGTTGGAGGATATAGTATGGGATGATTTTTGTGTGAACTGTGCTGGTACTTAGCCCGGATGTGGACCCCTTTGCTGCACAATAGTCCCCTGTAGTGTGGAATGAGTTCAGGTGAATATGCTCTAGTTTGTACTTTTTTTTTTTTGAAGGATTTGAAACTTTTTTGAAGGATTTTGATTAGCTTGAAAAAATTTTTGCGCCTTTTTTTGCATATAACTTTAAGGTGAAATTGAGGTAGATCTTCAAGAAATACCAAAGCTGTGACTGCATGAACTTCTAGGATAAATTGATTCCATAAATGTCCATTAAGTTATACTAGGTCCAGTTGTGGTATTTATAAGAAATGTGTACGACTTAATTGACTGAAACATTCTTTTTCGGGCACTTTTTTGTTTTATTTGTACTTTCGTTCGCATCTGTTCTACTAATTCACCTGACAGTTTAATAGTCTATTGTTTGCGACGAATATTTTGTTTGTTCCGTTTTTCCAGCTGGATTATTTTTTATCTTTAAGGGCATTAATGTTCGGTCTCATTATTTTTTATGCGTTTTGTGCTGTGTAAACAACAGTACAAAACGCATATTGTCACGGGGTTGTGTGTGTATGTGTGTGTGTGTCCCACATTTTGTCTCGCACTTTCACCTCAGGAACCACAAAAGCTGGGCAGCTGAAATTTTGGTGTAGTGTTCCCCGCCAACGGGTGACGCGGCAAATTTAAATTCAGCTTCCCCGTACCCGCGGTTAACACATACGGCCCCGTGAAAGTTTCTTACGCATAAATTAATATCTTGGGAACCACGGAGTTTAGGAGGTTGAAATTTTAGGGTAATGACCTACTGCCCACGCTCAACCTTGCCTATTCAAATTCAGCGTTCTCGCGCTCTTGAGTATCACCTCCGGCCTCGTGAAAATTTTGACGGGCAAATTATTAACTCGAGATAAAGATATTTACCCTTCAAGGATTCGATTTCAACTTTATACTCTATTAACTCGGGAATCACGGAAAGATATTCATCCTTCAAGGTTTCGAATTCAGCTTTCATGCGCCAAACTATTAACTTGGGAATCACGGAAAGATATTCATCCTTCAAGGTTTCGAATTCAGCTTTCATACGCTGTGCGTGAAATTTTTAACTGTTTTTCAATGTTTGAACTACTTTTGCATAGACTAAAGTACAAAGCAGTGAAAAAAATTAACTCTGGGATCAAGGAAAAATATTCATCCTTCAAGGCTTCGAATTCAGCTTTCATGCGCTAACTATTAACGCGGGAATCACGGAAAGATATTCATCCTTCAAGGTTTCGAATTTAGCTTTCATACGCTGGTGCATCGGGAATCACGGGAAGATATTCATCCTTCAAGGTTTCGAATTCAGCTTTCATACGCTGGTGCGGGGAATCACGGAAAGATATTCATCCTTCAAGGTTTCGAATTCAACTTTCATACGCTGGTGCATGAAATCGAAATCACGGAAAGATATTCATCCTTCAAGGTTTCGAATTCAGCTTTCATACGCTGGTGCGTGAAATTCTCACGAAAAGATATTCATCCTTCAAGGTTTCGAATTCAGTTTTCATACGCTGGTGCGTGAAATTTTTGTCTGGTTTCCAATGTTTGAACTATTTTTGCACAGACTAAAGTACAAAGCAGTGAAAATCATTAATAGGCAATCGTTCGATGGGCTAAATTGCACATAACGCATTATCGCACCGGTTATTCTGGTGCGCGTTGCTATTTATTTTTACTGTTATTACTATATTTTTTTTAGGGGGAGGGGTTTTATTGTGCAAATGCTGATATATTACACTGTTATGCTAATACTTTTAAAAACAAAATTAGGAAAAGTTTGAATACCGTTTATTTTTTTTTTCCTTATTCTTTTTTCATTTCCTATGCTACTGTGGTGATCTAAATTTGCTGTTGACGACTTTTCCATGACCAAACACCGCATCACTTGGTGGCCAGCCTGCTATCGATCTTGGCACGTGTTTTATCTCCCAGTTCGTTTACCAGCTTGATGCTTTTTCCTACAGAAACACGACCGTGCACATGAATTTTTGTAGGCGATCACAGGGAATATACATTCATTGCAAATCTGTTTCATCTTGATATTGAAAGACATACCTTGAGACTAGATAATTTTAGATAAGCAGTTGGAATTTTCTGAGTTTTCTTCAGTTTTAGCCAAAGTTCCTTGTTTTTTGTCTCGTGCTTGCAGTATAAAAACTTGCAGTGCTCGAAATCTGGCTTAGCTTACAAGAACGTGGTGGACCAGGATGCTGTGTGTTGCGTGTGTAACGATGGTGAGGGTAGCAATGTCAATCAGATCATCTTCTGTGATATGTGCAATATTGCTGTTCATCAGGTTTACATTAATTGTAATTTTAGTTTTAGATAATA